CTTCACTCGTCCCAGCCTCTGCTTCCTTGGCTTGACTTGGACCTGGTACCACATGCCCACGGCCTGTTTGCTTCAGAATGTCAAGGCCTGGTACTTTCCCGAATTTCATTGGTGTGCTGCTGCTTGGGACTACGAGTCACGACTTTTCGTCTGTGGAAAAAGACTTTTGACTGTGGGATGCGCCTCTTGCCTTTGGGACACTACTTTTGCCTGTGGAGTATGACTTTTCAATATGGGACGTGACCTTTGCTTATATAATGCAACCTTTGCCTCTGGGATGTGATTGTTCACCGGGTGCCTGTTGGACTTGACTCCTAAGGTACCCGGCTGTGACTTTTCTGAAACTGACCGACTTGGCCTCCCTTGGCCTGAGACCTTCACCCTGGAATTCGAATTTGGGGTCTGCATCGTGGAATGCCTTTCAAGATTAGCATGCCCCTGCGCAAGGATGACACGCATTATTCAAGGAACGCTTCAAATTTAAAGAGAAAAAAAGGAGCAAATCACATGCCAAGAAGGTTAGCATGCCCCTGCGCAAGGATGACACGCATTATTCAAGAAAAGCTTCAAATTTAAAAAAAGAAAAAAAACAAAGGAGCAAATCACACGAATACTTCCTGTCTGCTGCAAATATGACTGTGTGCAATCTGACTGCCACAGTGACCTAAAAGGGAGGAGGCCCGAAGAAGGAGTGAGGAGAAGGAAGGAGGTCTGGCAAACGTCAGGGGAGGACTCAGGAGATGAGTGGGTTCACAGTAAGTTCAAATCAGAAGCACGTGCATTCAGAGCAGCAGGGTCAGTACAGATCAGGGTCGTCGTAGGTCCGGAGCAAGTTCGTAGCAGTTTCAAAGTTTGGCAGTAGGTTGGTTCGGAGTGGATGCGTAGTAGTAGGTACAGAGTAGGTTCGGAGTAGGTTCGGAGTAGGTTCGGAGTAGGTTCGGAGTAGGTTCGGAGAAGGTCAGAGAAGTTCGGAGAAGTTTAGGAGTAGCTTGCGAGTCGGTTCGGAGAATTTTAAGAGTAGCTTGGGAGTAGGTTTGGAGAAGGTTCGGAGTAGGTTCGGACTAGCTTGGGAGTAGGTTCAGAGAAGTTTCGGAGTAGGTAAGATTAGACGTAGGTTCAGAGAACTTTCGGAGTAGGTTCGGAGAAGATTAGGCGGAGAATGGAGAAGCAAGGGAAGAATATCAGGGAAGTAGGTTCGGAGAGTGGAAGTAGGTTCAGAGAAGAGTCCAGATTCTTGTTGGTTTAGTGAGGGCGACCGTGCAAGTCACCCCATGAATCGCCCACTTTGGCGTAGTCACGTGGGACGTTGCAGATGTCCGCAACAAGACGGAGACGACGCATCGCAGTAGGTTCGGAGAACACTAGACGGAGGAAGGGAAGGCCCGAAGGTCAGGGAAGGAAAAGAAAAAAGAAAAAGAAAAAAAAAAGGTCAGGGAAGGTCGGGACTCGGGATGGAGTGAGGAAGGGTTGAGGAGATACAAATGTTCAGAGGATCGCAAAAGAAGGTTAATAAAGACATTTTAGCTGAATCTGACGTCCATCACGAACAGATGCAGCAGGAGGGGAAGTCCAACGGGTAGTCTGAGCATGCCCTGGGACGACAAGCGGAAGTGATACTTCAGAGATGGTACGCATGAAGTTTCAGAGGAAGAGAAAGGGCAGGACGTTCGAGCGAACAAGGCAAGCGAACCCACAAACCTACCAGTAGTAGCTCAGTTGGTACACCCACGAACTGTTGAAATACAGACCGGAGTTTGAATCCCGATACAATCACATGCTCAGAATACCATACAGTAATTCTGAATTGCCTGTTGCCGGTCAGCTTCAATGATGATATATCAAGGCCATCGTCCATTTATAAGGGAGTGAAAAAAAAAAAAAAAGGCGAGCGACGAGATCATGAAACTCGGAGAAGAGGGACCTCCCACCACCACTCACCAAATGCACAAAATGAGAATGAATCTGCCACTAGAACATGGAAAGATGCACCGCCAAAAAGTTTTGTCTTTTGTGCATATAAATATGGTGAGTGGTGCAGCGAGGCCCAACGTGCGGGGAAGGAGGTTCTCAGCGAAACCAGGAGGGGAGGAGGTTCGAAGCAGGGTTTGGGAGATGGTGAACGAGAGGATCGGACATGTATCTAGACTGAAAATTGCCCTAAATACAGCCATAACGCCACCCAATGTCCGACCCTCTCTCCTTTGCCAGGAGGTTCGGAAAGAGGTCCGAAAAGAGAGGTGAGGAAAGAGGTGAGGAGACCCAGAAGCCTACCCATCTTCCCCCGAGTAGAACGCCCGGTCATTGTAGCTGTAACTGGTCCCACTTTCAGACGAGATACAGCAATAATGACCAGGCGTTCTATTCTGGTGAACACGGAAGCTCAGCGGCTACACCCAGCAACTGTCGAAATTACCGACCCGAGTTCGAATTCAGATGGCAGAACTTGATGGACTTCATGAGTAAAACGAAACAGTATTTCTGACTTGCCTGGCGCCAGTCAACTCAATGATGATATCTCAAGGTCGTCGCCCTTTTCAAAAAGGAAAGAAAGAGGTGGGGAGGAAAGAGAGGTGAGGTGAGGAGGAAAGAGAGGTGAAGAAACGAGAAATTTGACTCAACAGTGCTGCATCAGTGGTACGCAATGCAACACAGGCACGCTGCGAATGAGGCAACCGGCGAGATTATGTGTAGCTCGGAAGTTAATCAGACACTTCTGAAAGATAGGGAAAAAAAAGACGCTCCAAGAGAATCACCATAGCCAAGCTATGGTGTACCCGAACAATTGCCTGCTAAGCGGACGATGGTAAGCCTGGCTTCCCTCTACCGGTTTCGGCTAGAGCCAGAATCCACCCTCATCAGGAAGGGAAAGAGAACCAACAAGAAGAAGAAGAATCAATGGCCGACAGTTGCTCCTCAAACACGAAGTGAAGTCTTGCACTGTATTACGCTTTCCAACTGACTCAGCACATGCACTTTCCCCAACGCGTTTCGACCGTCTGCGCTACGGTCATCCTCAGGGGGCTGTCCGCAGTCCCGCCTTACGGCACCCACCTCATCATTCCACCAACTAAGTGTAGAGGGCCTTCACGGCCTTGCCCTCTATATGCGCATCCGTCGAGCCCAGCGTACCTACAAGCATGCTATTGACGGGTCTGGTCTGGCATCTACCACCAGCGCGCGTAACTGACTATGATGTGCCCTATCGTTCCACTGGTCCGCACGTCTCAACCCGGATCGATGCCAGCACTTCCCGTATAGCGTGCTCCGTTGCTCTTGCCCGCCTGGTGCTCTCTGTAGGCACATGCTGTCCACGTGCCTTTCCCATGACTAACTCACCCCCGTTTGAATTTTGAATTTGAAACGTGTTCCTCCCCCGCCTGTTCCCTTCCTCCTCCCAGATTGTGCCTCCGAACCCCGCTCTCAGCTTATTCCAGGTACTTCCCTGGACTTTCTCGGCGTAGCGGAACTAATTTCGAAAACAGACAATTTGGTGTCAAGCACACGAGTACTTCCGAGGGCGGGAAATAACTGACTAACGTCAAAGGGAGGGAATTTCTATGTACTTCTTCGTTTTTCTATCGTAAGGCTCCCGCCGAACTTCGCCTGCGCTACTAACCGTATAGTACACAGTCGCTGCGGCTATAAACTCCGGTCCGTAGCTCTGTCTTTTCCTAGGCGTGACTAACTGATTACTAAAATTCCTATGCTAAAGTCTTTCCTATGCTTCGCGGGGGTGCCTTCTACCGTATAGTACATTAGGCCTGTAGCCCGAAAACCGCCTGTATTGCTGTCGAGTCCCTATTACCCTAGCTATTCCGCTATCCTTGCGCGTGGTGGCCACCGGTACTCTACCCCTTTTTTTATATCTTATCAAAGGGGGCCACGTCGCCCAAAATCCCCAGCGGTCTGCTTTGCTGACGTGTCCCTAATTCCTATTTTCGCTAAACCACGGCCCTGTGGGCGCCGAACCGCAAGGCATTCCCAGGTAGCCATGGTGCCCTTGGCAATTCCTGCCAAGGTCGTGGAGAAGAGAGGTGAGGCAAGGAGGAAAGGGAGGCGAGGAGTATTGAACACTGAGTTCTTTTTTGTTTCAAACGTCACCCCCTCACGCTCTTCTGCACACGGGATCAGTATTCTAAGAGACAAGAGTATAGCTGAGTTTATAAAATAAAAATAAAAACACCAACTCCAAGAACACGAGAGATGTAATGACCCGCCAAAAACACAGACTGGGAACACTGCTGATTTCTCGGATTTGCCAATGGAATGAATGCCTTGCTGTGATTCCCGCATTCTGCTGTGGTCCCAAGTCTGTGTGTATGCGTGCCTGCTGGTTTGCATGCCTGTCTGAGTGCTTGCCGGTTGTGTGTGTGTGCGTGCCTGCTGGTTTGCATGCCTGTCTGAGTGCTTGCTGGTTGGGTATGTGTTTGTGACCCGCAAGGGTACTTGCTGGTTGCAAGGCCCACCAGGCCGGTACTTACCTGTGGCCGTGACTTTGAAGGGTTGCAGGGGGGTAAACACGCCGGTAGCGGGGAGTAGGCCCACGGCACTTAGAGCAGCTGGGGAAAAACACTCAAGTAGCAGGTAGGCCGAGCAGAAGAAGACAAAAAGTTGGCATTTTTAGAGGTCCAGTAGCGGTAGGTTAGAGGTAGGCCGGTACCAGTCCAAGTAGCCCGGGTCTAGGGCCTGTGCGGACAATAACAGAGCCTGCAATGATGTTTCCCTCCAAAAGGGAGGAGGTACCGGTTGCTGGGAGGCCGCTTGGCCTAGGAAGTCACCGCCCAGGAGGCCGGTAGGCCGCTATATCTTCAGGAAGAGCAGAGAGCTCTTCCTCATTTGCGGTATGCAAGGATTGGCGACATGCTGCTGGAGCGCAGCGCTGGACTGAAGCAGCGCTGCTTGGAGGTGAGGTCCGCTGGGGCTCAGCCTGGCTATGGCGAGCACCCCAGCTTGAGGAGGAGGAAGAAGGGGGCATGGTAGGAGAGTGGTAGGGCACTTACCTGGCTATGGTGGACACCATCTTCATCACCTTGTTGGGCGCTGTATCTGGAAGGCCCCAGTTGGGGTAGCGCTGCACCAGAGCAGCTCAAGGCAGAGTCAGGCATAGCGGACCAAGTCAAGCAGCGGCATAGCTGCTTTGGGTTGTCTTGGGACATCAGCGCAGCATCATAGCTGCCTCCAAGTAGTCCGCCATGGCCTATGCATGAGAGAGGAGGATGAAGGAGGGAAGCCATGGCCATGGTGGACTTTCTTGTTGTTGTTGTTGTGAGTTGAGATGCAGTAAGAGGGAACTTCGGATATTGATTCTGGTTCATCCATTCATTGTTATTATTATTATTGAGAGAAGAATAAGATTGGTGAAGAGAAGGAGGAGGAGGAAGGTGGCGAGAGAGAAGGGGTAATTGTCATTGGTCTTGCTGGTGTACTTCTTCTTCTTCTTCTTCTTCTTCTTCTTCTTCTTTACCTCTCCTCTGGTCTTTATCTCTTTGCAAGTGCTTTCATTTCTTTCGCAATTGGGTGGCATTGTCTTTCATTGTGAATTTGCACTTGGGAAATGACCAGGATCGTAACAGAGATAGAAAATCCTGATTGGCGGGAGCGGACTGCCGGAGAGCGTTGCGGAGCGGCCTAGCGCTCGTAGCCCGACGGTTGAGTTGCCATGCTTGGCTGGTCTCATCCGCCCCTGGCCGTGAAGGTCAGGAGTGGTTATGCTGGCGTGCTGAGTTGAGAGTGCGTTGGTGTGTGGGTGTGGCGCGTCTGTGGGAGGATGCTCTTATACCGGGTATGTAACTGATCAGCGTGCTGAAGCACGGCTGATCTTAGGGATGAAGACTTTGATTGCTAGGATGCCGTTTTAGGCGTTGATCTGCTGTGGGAAGCTGGAAGAGCATGAAGAGGATCGTATTAGTGAAGGTTTGTTGAAGAAGATATCGTCGAGACTTGAAGGCTGGAGATCCGCTTGGAAGGAAGTAATGGAACGCAGTGGATTTGGTATGCATCGCTTGCGGGTTAGGTGTAGTTTTAGTGATATTTCTGGAATTGTTTGCTTCTTTGACTGGTGTTAGGGAATTTCCGAAATTGCCAGTCTCGTTGTTTGGTCCTTTCGAGGTTGGGTGGGAGATTGAATTTTCCTGTGTTTTTTTTTCCCTGCTTTAGGTTATGTAGGATTTTCTTTTTGTATCTTGCTGCTTCTTTTAGTACTTGGTTCCTCGTTTGTTTTTTGTGGAGTCTGGTTTTAGGAGTATTGTTGAAGTAGTTTGGTTTGTTGGTTTTTTGTTTCTCTCGTATTTTATTGCTTCGTAGGATCCACCTTTCTATATTTCGTAGGGCTTTCTTTTTCGATGTGTGCCGCTGCATTTCTCTCTGTTGTCCTTGGGTATTTGGGGCATTATATGCCTTGCTCGGACAAAAGAGTGTTTGATTATTATAGGTAGGCAACCCTATTGCATGCTGTTGCTGACGTCTGGTTCGAAGCTTGGCGTGAGACGAGGTATACGGGTGGTCTCTTCTCCAGAACTGTGTTTCGACTTCGAACGCCTAGAATTTTGATAGGTGGGCGGCCCTAATTACTTCTGTTGCCGGCGTTTTGTTGACGAGAGTGAAGTGAGAAGTACTTTGACACCCGAGGTGGCCTTCTGTGGGAGTTGAGGTTTTGATGCCCTGAGCGGTTTTGTGTTTGATGCTATGAATAGATGAGTTGTTTTTTGTCTAGTGTTGGTAGTGTTCGATGTTATGGATAGATGAGTTGCTTTTTTGCCTAGTGTTGGTAGTGAGTATTGGAGTTGCTTTTGTTTTGGGTTGGGTTTGTAGATGAGAATAGCACGGTTTTGTGGCAGGGCTGGTGTCGTGATTGGGCAATGAGTGTGATGATTGTGTACGCAGGGAAGGGGCGCTGAGCTCCAGGAGGGGCAGGACAACCCTGAGTCCTTGTTGTTGATCGCCCTAATGATGTAATTTGCCTTGGGCACTGGGCCNTGATGAAGCAAAAGCCGTGCGATCAGGCGCTCACTGGGCAACCAAATAGTAGGGCACCACGGGACGGGTTCACACAACTTAAAAAAGGTAGATCTGATCAGCAGAAAGGCTTGCCAACAGAGCACAAACCGTGAGATCAGGCTCACGGGACAGGTTAAAAAAAAAAAAAAAAACCAGATTTGATCAGCAGAAGGGCTTGCCAACTGACAGTATTAAAAAGCCAAATCAGCACACATGTGCTTACGTGTCAGTGCATTAATCTTTCATGTTTACAGTAGGGTGGAAAAAAAAAAAAAAAAAAAAAAAAAGAGTAAAAAAAAAAAAAAAAAAAAAAAAATCCTGATTGGCACTCAAACAAGCTCCAAGAAAACCAGCGATTTTCTTTTACCCGTCCTCTGACCGATCCTTCGCAAGAGGGAGGAATACAAATACTTATTCCCGATTAGGAAAGCGGACGTGGCTGATTAGCTCACTGCCACGTGCACTGCTGGGTTCTCTTTTATTTTTTTTATATTTTTTTGGATCCTTTTTTTTTTTTTGGATCCTTCCGCAGGTTCACCTACGAAAACCTTGTTACCGCTTCTCCTTCCTCTAAATGATAAGGGTCAGGTTCAATGAACTTTTCACAGCATCCCCCAGCGGCAACCCTCCGAGATCACCCCCGCGATCCCGACACTTCACCGGACCATTCAATCGGTAGGAGCGACAGGCAGTCGTACAAAGGGCAGGGAGTCCCAACGTAATCAACGCAAGCTGATGACTCGCGCTTACTACCGGTCTTCACCCGAATAGAACGCCGGGTCATTATAGCTCTACCTGGACTGAAAATTGCACAAAATACGGCTATAATGACCCGACGTTCTATTCGGGTGAAGACGGGTAGGACGGGTCGTTATTAGACCTAGCATTTGAGGTAGTAAGCGGGGATCTTTTATGTTTTTTTCTCTTTTTTTCTTTAGTAGTAAGAGGGGTTAAGGTACCTTATAAGAAGGGCCATAAGGTGATCGTGTATTTTTTTTTCTTTTCAATAATACGAGGGGTTAAGAGGGGTTATAAGGTGATCTTGTAAGTTTTTTTAGTAATAGGAGGGGTTAAGAGGGGTTACGAGGGGTTACGAGGGTTTATGAGGAGACCCTTTTAGTAAGGCTCTTGAACCAAGACGTAAGTGGTCAAGAGGGGTTATAAGGGATTTTTTTTTTCCCCAACCTAGGGGCAGTATATTAATTCCGGTCTATCAGAAAATATATCGGTTTTTTGGGTTTCTGGGCCCGTTTCCCAGCCCCTTTTTTTTTTTTTAAGGGTTAATTCTTTTAACCCAACCAATTCTTCATTGTTTAGATTAAAAACAAGAAAAGGAAAGAAAACATACCGGTAAATCAGCTGCTGCGCTACACTGCTCCTATTTTGATTAATAGATCAGTTACGGTTCGATGTTCAGGGAATCAATTTTTTGGAAAATTCAAAATTGAAAATTCTGTTTGTTTGTTTTTTAGCGGGGGGGCAGGGGGCAAAGGCATTTTCCGATTTATGCGTGCCATCCTTGCGCAGGGGCCATGCTAAAATTCTGTGTCGGCTTGGCAAAAAAAAAAAAAAAAAACCTGTGTAGGAAAGGAGAGGATGCTGAACCCGGTTTTCTTTTTCTTTTTATGTTTAAATAAATTTCGCGATTTATGCGTGTCATCTTTGCGCAGGGGCCATGCTAAAATTCTGTTTTATGAAAGGAGGGACCCCCCTTAACCCGGCTTTTTTTTCCCTTTTTCATTCAGCTTTGGACTAAGATGGATTTGGCCCAAATAATTCCGGGTTGTTTGTTCGGCATTCCCGGCCTCTGATCCATTTTTCCCAATTCGTGAAAAAAGAATGGCATCTTCAACTTGAGCTGAAAAAAAAAAAAAACTGGGTTCAGCGTCCTCTCCTTTCCTTTCCTAAACAGTCTATACTGTTTTTTTTTTTTTTTGTCAAATAACTTTTTTCATTACATAGCCAATGCGCAATGATGACACGCATAAATCGAGAAATGGTCCAATATTAAACCCAAAAAAAAAAAAAGGATGACATGCATACGACTTTTACTGCCTTGCGGAATTTTGCTCTTTTCCGAAGGGTGTGCACGGTCAGGCCAATGGTCTCGGATTTTTTTATTTTTATTTTTTTCAGCGGTCTCGATTTGGCCACACCTGTCCCTAGACATTCTCCCAACGCCTGCGCCTAGGCTGGAAAATGTGGATGTCGATGCAAGAGTCAGCAGAGACTGACCAGATACAGACACATAACCATGCGAGTCAACGAACATGTTTTTCAGATTTTATTAAGGAGAGCAGCCAAATTTTTTTTCTCCCCTATTTGGTTCAAGGAGAGTAGAAAAAAAAAAAAAAAAGGTGCGAGTCACGGCAGCATACGCGCATACCAATCTCGAAATAGTTATTTTTTTGCTTTACTTTTGTTTTTCCACTCTCACGAGGAGAAACAACAGTAGCAGCCGAGATTTGATTGTTGAGGAATTTGCGGCCCCAATCTCAAAAAAGGTGAGTAAAATCACCTGAGTTTCTTTGTTTTTTTGTTTTTTTTTTTAACAAAAGAGATCGGTGTGATGGGTTAGGGCATTTTACATTTACTTGATAATAATATGCTGGGGCACCTCCCCACACACACATGGGTCCAGAGACTACAGGGAGACATGGCTCCACCACTCTCCAGATGAGAAAATGATATATCGTCACACAGAACTGCCCGGCACACCGTCGGCGGAAAGGAAGAAGAGGACAACAAATGAGGGGCTGTGACAAACTGTTTCGTCATCAGGATCAGCCTCCTGATGAGTCGGTGAAACTCCGGCGAAACAGTTTGTCACAGCCCCTCGTTTGCTGCCCGCTTCTCCCTCCCTCTCTGCCTACGGTTTACAGGGAACTGCTGTTATATTGTTTATCGTCACATAGATATCAGAGCGCAAAAGCCAAAAAAAAAAAAAAGGAAACTACAAAGATATCAATTCATTTTTTTTATCTTCTTACTTACAACTCCCCTGTTCAGAACCTCCTCTTGCGTACAAGGCCGCCCACGTGGATGTGGTTGAATGGCGGCTGCCCCCACCCCCGTGTGTAGCATATCAGAAAGTGAAATGCACTGAGAGCCTAGGATCTAGCAATGACGAAAGTGGCAACAACCAGCAGCATAGGTGCAATCCACGAGATGTCAATGTGCACGGTGCAAAGGGTGAACCAACGAGAAATCAACAACACACATTCGTATCATTATCATCATGGGCTGGGAAGCAGCACAGCGGAAGATTTAGTATCAAAGGACACGTGGACAACAACATGAAAAGGAGAAAACTTCGGAAGGGCAAGACATCAGAAAGATTGCCCTTCCGCTCACACACATGGGGAGAGATCCATAGACATGCGAGAGAGAAGGGGGAGGGAC